TGGGAACCAGTCTGTATGTGGGATCTGAACCCTTGGCGGGAGCGCCGCCGCACTCCCAAGCGGTGCACTGTAGCAGTGTGCCACCGGGCGGCCCTACAATGGACCTTTTGAAGGAAGGTCCAGCCCACAGAGTCACTGGGCTCTTGCCAACAAGTCAAAATAAATTACTCTTAGAAGGTGATCTACAAACTTTTTTTCTTAAACTTAATTTAAAGATATTCTAGTGTTATAGCTCTGAGAAGCAGCTTTATTGGATTTTTGAGAAAGACAAAAATATAAAGGTGCTTTATGTTATAAATGGCAGCAGAAGACATTTAGCACTAGGATTGGAAACATTAGAAGACTCTAAGTAACACCAGAATACATTCATCCAATCTTGGCAAAGGATGGGTGCGTGCATGCGTGTGTGTGTGTATGTAAAATCACCTAGTGAAAAGGGAATTTCGTAGCACGGTGACTTTAATCTTTACTTTGAAGGAAAATTGTTCAGCAACCCCTTTAAAAATAAAAATATGTATTGAGAGACAAGTCTGAAAGGAGGAGTTTGCCCCCTAAAATATCCAGTATATTTCATATTTTAACAAAAAGTTTTTACTATTTTGGGAATTTAAAAGCTATGTCAGACATTTTCTACCCATCACTGTAAATCTGAATATTAAAGACTCCTACAAATGAAATAAATGAATGTTTTATGCTTCCTTTATAAATTGTAAGATAAATTATAAGAAAAAGTCATTTCAACTGCAAAATGGAAGACAATTTATGTGTTCTGTTGTCAGTTAATTTATAATCCCTTTTGCTGGGAATACCTGTATTTTGAAAAGTTCAGAAGGGAATTTCAAATATCTGTGTTTTGAGAAATTTCTAAGTGCTTACATCGTATTCTGTGAAGTAAAAATTTGCTCCAGCATTTCAGCAAATAGAAATTTCTTTGAATTCTTACACAATATATGTGTAGAAATCCTTTACAGTTTAAAAAATATAAAATGAAAAAGTTTTTGTTTATTACTTACTGTTAACTTTTGGCAAGTCATCTCTGACTTTTCCAATATTAAAAACAAATAAACAAAAAACTTAAAAATTTACTACAGCTTATCAGTGGAAAAGTTAATTTTGGCTAGATCAGAAAAATAGAATTTTAGTTTCTGAAAAGTAAACATTCAGTTATGTGCTCTGAAAAGACAGGTGAGCTCATAAAGTTCAGTTAAAGTAATATAAATAATGATGTATGCAAATAATCTGTTAAGGGTGGTACAAAAAGCTTCTGTGATTCTGGTGGGTTATTCATGGAAATGGTTTTCATTTTTTTACTCTGAAGTAATGATTTCCTACAATATGATGTATATGATATAAATATGATATTTATAATATTATATTGATACTTAAGACTTAATTTACCCATGTTTATAAGGAGCAAATATAGTATAAACATATAATATTTTTATAATATATAAGCAAATACAAGTAGTTTTAAATGATTTCAGACTTTTTTTTAATTGACATAACTTTTAACAACACTGCCCTCTGATGAGTTGAACAGTAGTTCTCAGACTGAAATGGAAAGATCAGTAGGGTTATTGTATAATTATACCACCAAGAAGCAAAGGGACTGGATAATTCTATGTTTAGATGATTAGCCCTTGCTAATTATTAAGCACTTAGAGAAGAGTTATTGGAAATTTTGCCCTCTGTAATTGGTACTTTGTTTTTGTTTTTGTTTTTTTCCCTTTTTGTCTTTTTTTTTACTGACCGGTAACGGGATCGCAACCCTCGGTGTCGCGCCCGTACCGGGGACCGGCAACGGGATCACAACCCTCGGTGTTGCGCCCGTACCGCGCTCAGCCAGTGAGTGGGAACCGGTCTCCACATGGGATCCGAACCCTCGGCGGGAGCGCTGCCACGCTCCCAAGCGGTGCACTCTCCAGTGCGCCACCGGGCCGGCCCTGTAATTGGTACTTTGGATACCGAATTATCTTTTGCCTTTGCAAAAAAACACATAATGGTTTTATATTAGCTAATTGTTTCACATCTGTGTTGAGTTAGAAAAGGTAGTGATAGTATTCAAATTATATTACTGACATTTTTCTTTGGAGGTTTTGTACCAATCTACAGAACCTTCAAAATGGTATTATCTATTTACTTGAGCATGCCTTCCTTACTCATTTATTAGGAATACAGTCATGCTGTGCAAAAATGTTGCTCCTTATTCAAATAAAGCATTTCAGTGATATTTTTAAAAATCATATGTTAAAAGAATAATAAAGTTTTTTTTTAAAAAAACAGCAGAAATGCATTAGGAAGGAAAAAGTGTAGAAACATTCATTGAATGTACAACTTAGCAGTCAGGTCCTGTCATTGAGGCCAAAAGGAAGATATTTTGTGCTATTTAGTTTTTAATGGAAAAAAGAGACATACAAAGTTATTTGAAGAAAAGGTTCTTTTTCTCTCATGGTACTAAATTGTGTTTTATGGGAAAAACACTGTACAACTTAGTTGACATTTTCAATTATAATTGTACAAAAGATAAAGAAATGATCTTTAAATGATTTTTACTATTAAATGCTATAACTTTAAATTCTAACTCAAAGAACTAAGTACTAGAAGAAAGAAACCTTGACTGCTGATGAGTTATGTTAATGCAGGACTTCCAAATCCTAGAAGAATGGACAGTTAACGTACATTACAGTATATTTGTGTCCACTAAACTTTTAGCAGTGTTATGATAATGTAAAGTCAGAGCTAAATTGTTAGACTGCCCTATAGGTCTACAATAATATCACTGAAGACAAATTAGCAATAACGGTTTGTTAAGGATGGGATCTAGATGAATAAAATGTTTTAAATGAATGTAGCTCTTCAGCTAAGAAGAGTCTTTCTGTATTTTGGAGAGGTTTTCACATGAAAGTCAAATTAAGTGAAGTAACATACCATACATCAGTAGAATTCATTTTCCTCTATAATGACTGCAACAGAACCACAATTACGATGACAGGTTTTTTTAACCTACAGTCATCATTGGCGTTAACCTCTAAGCCGCAAATCTTCCGTTGAGATCTTTTATGATATAACAACAAGTGCAATTTAAAACTTTTTTAAAAAATTTGAACTATTAAAATACTTTTGCCCCTAAGATTGGCAAAGAATAAAAAGATTGATACTAGCAAGGATTTTATGAAATGGGTAGTTATAAATCACTACAACTTTTTCGGAGGGCTATTTCACATATATCAAAATGTAAAAGTCATTTAGCAATTCTGTATCTGGAAATTGATCCTACAGAGATATTCCCACAATT